TCTTTACAGCATCCTTAAGGATTCTCACTGCGTATGGAGTTGGGGTTTCTCTGCCCGTCCCAGCTCCTGTGCTTGGCTTTCTGTATTTCTTAGGGTGGGCTCTGCAAAATACATAAGAGTGGGTAGAAGATGCTGCTTCAGCTGCTCAGTGGTTCTGATATTTGCCCAGGAAAGCTGGGGTGTGGTCTGACTAAATGTGTCCTGTGTCCCTGAAGAATACCAAGCTCTTGCTATCTGGGTTAGGACTGTGCTCACTTCCCTTTATTTGCCACAAAATGCAGTGGGGTTCCTGCTTATTATGCTGGGCTGTTTTGAATCTCCATTCAGAGACTCTACATTTCTCCACACATCAGCTTTAGGAACACAGCAGCACTTCACAGGGAGGACCATGTATCCCAGTATTTGTGTCTTGTGCAGAAAATTTTCCATGCCTCAGGTTGCAAAACATGAACTGGAAACAACGCACAATTATGCAGGGGAAGGCAGAGAATAGAAATGTTTATTATTTTCCCACACATATGCAAATCTAGAAAAAAATCATCTGGAGAAATGAGTGCTGTTGAAATAACTGTACTAATACTATGTTCTTTTTCTGTTGCACAGGAAGAGAGTTGCTGGTTTTTTCTTGTTTCAAACCCTCATCTTATGTGATACAAATCTAATTCAGGCTTTACAGCAAAGATTTCTGATGTAGTGAGATGTGAAAATGATGGTGAAATTTTCCAATATTTCCTCATTTGCTTTCTCTGGATCTAATTGCATTTCTCACTGCTTGAGTTGTGTGCAATCTCTATAGCTGGTTTTCCTCCTGTGTAGTAGTGATCTCCTTAATGTTTATTTTTGATGTCCCTGGGAATACTGCAAAAGGGACAAAAGTTGAGATGCAGTTACAAGGAGCTGTTTAGGGCTAAAATTTCTTGTAAAAACTCTGCATGTCCCAGACCACAGAAGTAATCAGGGGGAAAACTTTCAGAGTTTTTCTTGAAATTTTCTTTCACATTTAAACCATGGAAAAATCGTTTTGTATTACAGTAGCAATGGAGTCACTAGCAGGAATTTGAATGACCAAATGCCCTAATTTTCACATTTGAGTATTCTGGGTTTGGGTTCTTTTTGTAGGGTTTTAGGTTTTGTTTGGAGTTTTTATAGTTTGCTTTCAGCCAAAATGCAGGACATGGACAAAGCTGAAGTAAAATTAAACATTTTTGTTTGAGAAAAATTTGAAGAGTTATTTTGCACAAACAAAAATGGTTTTATTTTGTCTGCCTGTGTTCTCAACCAACATTGGTCTTAATGGATAATGGTTTGAAAATTTTGAATTTTTCGTGTAATCAGAGGCAAATAAGTATTTATTCCAGGAATGTTTTTCTCTGTGTTTCATCGGAAGCATTGAGGTTGCTTTATGTTGTTATTGTGGAGGTTTGCACCTATACTGATTGCAAGCTACATTAGAGATGTAGATAAAAACAAGAGTAGTTTGAAGAAAACAGACATGCAGCTACATTATGTAGAGGCACATTTAATACATGTGTTTTACAGGTTTGAGATTTTAACTCCTGCTTAAGACACAGGTGAGTCAATCATTGCAAATCTGGCACTAGTTTTGGAGCAGCAATTTAAGGCTTACAGACTGTTGTTCTTAATCTTCTGGAGTGCCTTTGGGAAAATTCTGTGTATAATTCAACTGAATTTTGTGTAGTTTCAGTTGGACTTAGTCTGTGCACAGTTTATCCATGTACTTGGATGTACAGGGAAATGCAAGTGGGAAATTAGCATTCAAATAACACATTAAAAAAAACAACCAAAAAACACTTCTTCATTGAAATAATGCTCTATTTATCTTAACTGGATAGTTTTGCTTTTAGAAACTTGGATGAAATTCAGCCCCAGACAGTTTGAGGGGTCTTAATAGTTTTTACAGCTGTGTGATGTTAAGTTTTTCAAGATTGCCTGGTTCTTACAATGTTTAAAGGAAAAAAAAAAAAAAAAGGTACAGAAACATTATTGAGGATGTATTCCATTTCCAGGAGAGGGAAAGAAAAAAAAAAAAAAAAAAAAGGAGGAAATCTATTATTTAAGGAATACAGCCAGTGTGATAAAAGTGCCTTCCCACGTCTTGTGGCCAGGTGCTACGTGCATATAAATGTTTCACGGTAAGCTTTAAGATCAAGGAAGAGTCAGTGGGGAACCTTGTTTCCTGGAGGTCTGCTTGCTGGAGTAGCTCCCAAGTACTGACTTCCCATTTTTTATTTGGTTATTAAGGATGAAAGGCAACATCATTTTCTAGAACACCGTTCCTTGCATGCCATTATCTTTGTCCACAGCTATGAAACATTCATTTCTATAGGTTCATGTGGATGCTTAGCCTCACTCAGCTTAGCCACTGTGACTCCTGCTTTATGTAAGTTTAATTCAAAGGATCAACTTTATGTCGTCTTGTAGACTGAACAAAAGATAGATGGTTTCATTAGTTGAGAAACTGACTTTTTTACATACAGTTGAGTATCATGAGTTCCAGCCTATGTAATTCAGGGCACTCTCTGGTACTGCTGAAAAGGAAACTTTGAAAGTCTTATTTTCTGCCATGATTCACTCTGGGTAATGTGTTATTATGTACAGCCTTACATGTGCAAATTGCCAGTACGAAGTTTTGCATGCTCCAAATATGTACAGAACCAGGAGGAAAAATGTGATTGCAACCCATTTGTACTCAGCTTGCATCAGCAAATTGTCCTTAGGATTAGAAATTCCAGCACTTACCTATTTATCACAGTGGCTCTGCATAAATATCCTTTCCAATAAGGCTTTTTTTTTAACAGACTGGCATCATTAACAGATATTTAAAATATAACAAGCTTAGCAATTTGGGGTTTTTACTTGGATAAAAATCCTGGTTTAACTACTTTATTTTTTAAATTTAGCTAATTATTATATTTCTAGTAAATGCTATCAACATTAATTTTTCTGAAGTTAAAGCCAGGAACTTGCCTGGCACTTGTCTCTTTAAAAAATCATCTTTAAAAATATTCTAATAAAAATTTTAAGATAAGAAATTACTGCAAAATATTATTACCCATATAAATGTCAGAATCATGCTCAATCAAATGTAGCATGCTGCTGTAAGATGGGAAATTATAATCATTATACAGAGGTTAACAAGGAAAGCACAACAGATGCAGAAATTTGGAGTGAAAGAAAACCCTTCAAAATTAGCAAAATTTGGTCGTTTACCAAGGCTAAGGGGAGTAAGAGTAAGAATAAGTTATTTGGGGGTTTTTTCAGGAATGAAGGATCCAACCTATAGATATTTCTTCTGTTCTGACCTGTGTGCTTCTTTCTCATTCTTTAATGTAATTGAAGGTACTGAAAACAGGTGTCAGGGAGTTGCTTGGGGAAAAGCTAATAATGGCAATCTACTATATGGAGAATTTATGCTTGTGCATTTTCTCTAACATGACACTCTTATCAGATATAAACTTAACAAGGACTGATCTATATTATGTTCTCTTCAGAAGGTGTTACTGAATCCATTTCCTGGTGGCTCTGGGGAAGAGTAATTGTGTTGCTCAAAACCAGACACGTGGTTGATATTGTATAGAAAAAGAAATACATTTTTGTCTGAACCCAAGTTTTGTTTGCAGAACCAAGGAGCCCATACAGATATATATTTTTGTATATGTCTGAGTGCATCTATATATATAACACTCAAACTTCTTGATCCTTCTGACACAGGCATCCAAGTGCTGCCAACTTTGAGTTTAGTTTAAACACAGATAAAAGCACAGTAAGCAGGGATCTTGGCAGAGGAAGGAGACAGACACTCTGCATGGTCCATTGCCAGCAGCTTTTCATTGCAATAAGTACTTCAGCCTGAATACTGTTTTTAGAATAGTTCAGTCAAGTTTCTGAAACCAATCTAAGAGTATGAGCTCAAAGATTTCTCACAGATTTCTCAGACACAGAAGGGAATACCAGGGAAGGGAACTCCACCTTCCCCATCTGAACAGAAATTAGCACTCATGCTTATGCTCCTAATTTGAAAATGCATCTAAGCATGTGTATGAATACACTGGGGAATACATATAATTTTGTGAATACCTTCACTGAGAAAAATTATGCATCCTAAGGGTTGTGTTATCAAAGGAGCTTGAATTAAAGTCTCCAGTATCCTCTGCTTTGATATATCTTTGGATGGCCTGTGAGTTCCAGTAAAGGTAGTGGGAATAAACGTTTTCTAAACTTTCCCATAAAGCATGGCAGTACAGTTTCTGAACATTTTAAACCAAAATTCCTCTTTTAGTTTAAAGAGGCATTAGCATAGGAGCCCTATGATACACATTTGATTTTGCACTCTGCCTCAGACACTGTATTTTGGTGCAATAAGTATTTTTTTTTACATTTAAACACTTATGTGGTTCATGGCCTGACATAAACTGAACATTTGGTAGCGAATTCTGATCTTGGATTCCATAATATGACTCTCTATGACTGCAGACAACTGAATTGGGGAACAATGCAAAGGCTATACCCTTGTTTTACACCTTTATATTTTTCCTTCCCTCCAAACACTATCATTCTAATTTCCTACATTTTCTCTGGTTTGTTTGGAGGTTTTTCTTGGTGGTTGACTGGGTTTTTTCCTTCAGGAAGCTTTTTGATTCACTGTGGGTGTTTAACATTTTCCTTTTTTCCCAGACTTATGTTAAATGTAACAGATGCTTTTTATTAATACTTTTATTTCTAGTATTTCCAATTTATTACTGTACACTTTCCCTCTTTTTATTGTTTCTAATCCTGTAATTTTGTTTCTCTCTTCTTGTCTATCCCATATTCTGTCATCTAACCTTTATTTTCCTTCTCTACTTCTTAAATTTCTTAATTTATCTGTAGTTGTTCCCACCGTAGGCTGTGATTTTTTTTGTTTCCCCCAAATATAGAATAGTTATATTTTTGGTTTTTATTAATTCAAGCCTGAAAAATAATTTTGTTTTGTTTGTTTTACTTTTTAGGCTCAGCTAATCCTGCTTAACTTTCACATTACAGAGGGACAAGGTGGAGTCTTGTACTTCTGTGAAAAGATGTACAGTGTGCTGGCATTTGCCCACTCTGAGGAATAAGAATGTGCACTTTAAAAATAAAAAAGTAAAGAAAAATCTGAAGTGAAAGATCCTGGAGGAGCCCCTTGAGAGCTGAAAACCACCCTTCCCTGATGTGAAAGACACATCATTTACGCTGCTTCGCGGGTCAGCAGTGCTGGAAGGTAAAGCTTTTTTATCAACAACATTTGTTTGGTTGTGGTTAATTTGGCAATGCTTTGGTCTGTTTGTAACTGTGAACTTCAAATATGTGTTCTGGAAGGGACAGGGAAGTTTTAAAAGTAGCATTCCTGCTTGGAAAGTCTACCCTGAGATAGCCAGAGCTTGGATTCAGCTGGATGCACCCTCATGCTTTCCCTGCAAATGGAAGTGCCTGGTCATTAACACAGTGAGTCACAGTAATGTGTTATGATCTGATCTGGCATTTATAAGGAAATAGAGTGGCTTGCCTTGGATACCTCTCCTCCAGGTCATTTGTCCTAGTGATAAAGAGAGTGCTTGCTCCCCAGAGGAAGCAAAGCTGCCCATTATGTCAGCTCACACCGTGGAAAAGGCCACTGATTCCAATGCCTCTGTTTGAGATGTGCTCTCTAAACGGGGTCAGTGTTATAACTGGGAGGGGGGAGCAGCTTCAGCTGTGAGTGAGTGCTCAGAGAAATGGTATAACAGATGAATAAAGAATGCAGACAAGCGGGCTTCTTTTATATTCACTTCTAAAAAAATACATATATAATGATTTGGTTTTTCGGATCATTGATTTATATGTCAGACAGATGAAAAGCAAAATTTTGGTGATGCCTTTATCATTATTCTGACAAGGACTGCTTTTAAGTTAAAGAGTGATAAAGAATGCCAACTTTTGACATTACTAGAACAGCCCTATCAGCTTTAATTTTCTTTTGTTTTCTTCATGTCAAATAAAGGCCATTAGAGATAAATTATGATCTCGAACTGATTAATCTAGTGACACGCATTTTTTTTCCCCATAAATTACCCCAGCCATGTCCTAAAGCATTACATAATCTCAACGAGAAGCGAGGTACAGAAAGTAGAAATCTCAAATATCCAACATCACCCATCTTTAGGCCAGGGGTTCTGAAACTCTGGGAGAGCTGCCCACAGCAGAGGTTCTGTATCACACTGCACAGGTGGATGTGTGGAGCCGTCTGTTCTGCCCGCCTGTACTTTTGTGTGTGCGGCGTTTGTGGCACGCCAGGCACCGCTAGAGTGTGCTCAGTTACAGCTCTGATCAGGAGCACACTCCGTGCGGCACGGGGAGGGTTCAGGGATGCTGAAAGTTTATTATTTCCAATACATTAGGGAGCTAGTACTCTTGTCATTATAGATCAAAGTTAACTGACCTCACAGCATTAGCATCAGTGTACTTAAAGAATTTGTACATAAAACTGGAGAGTTTAATTCTGACCAGTCTGTGTGTCTACGCTGGTTTCACATTTCAGGTGAGGAGTAGCTGTGCAGATTTCATGTAAAAGTTTGTTCTTTTGCATCACATTTGGGCTTTGATTTTTGCTGTTCCAAAGCTGTAGTTTCCCCCTTTTTATTTATTTTTCATTATTTTTCTTCTTTCTACTGATTGACCAGTTTGATGAGTGTTCATCCATGGTGTTTTCTATAAAACATTATTGACAGCTATTAATAATTTGCACCTCTTTAGCCAAGCATAGTCAGTGTTTTCAAAGCCTTTATAAGCATTACCTGAGTCAAGCATTACCCAATCAAGAAGGCAAATATTATTCATGTATTTTGACAAGAAAACCAAGCTAGAAAACAAAATCAGATCATTTCCTTATGATCACAAGACTGTGAAAAAGCCAAGACAACATCTATCTTTTGACATCTATTCCTGTGCTCAACCATAAAATGCTTGGGTTTTTCCAAATATGTGTATGATTAGCATTATGATTAAAGAGTTGTGATTAACACTCTTTTGGGAATAGATAATATGACTTCTTTATATCTGTACTAAAAGTTTTCAAGCATAATTTATCATCCTGAGTATGTTATAATAGGACTGACACAAAAAGAGGGTACACAAAAAAAAAATCCTTCCTGCAGCCCAGTTATATGCAAGCACAGATATAAGACAGTATGTGAAGTTTAAGAGAGAAACAAAGAACTGGCTAGAGAAGATGTTGGGAAGCTCAGCAGAAAATACAGAAAATGACAGGGGGAAGAAAAGGGAGAAAAAATACGAAGAAAGATGAGTAAGGTTGGATTTATTTATACCCACAGCTAAATTATATATTATAGATACAATATGCAGCATATAATAATTAGATTTTATTTAGTAAAATAAGGATATAGAGCCTAGAACCACACAGATTTGAAATAGAAATAAATATCATGTTTATATCACAGTATGTAGTGTCTGCTGTCAGTCTACCCTGTTTTAATGCATAATGGTAATGGAATGGAAATATCCTGTATGTTTCACTATCGTGATGTGATGTGATATACCAGTGTGTGTCATAGCATGTCATATCATATATAGGTTATAAGAATTGAAATATTTGGAGAGAAAATTAATTGAGCCATGAGTAGCAACATACCTGTAGAAGGACAGAAGCTCAGCATAACAATGCCAGGCAGAGATTTATTATAAATATAGTCACCCTATATTTTAGCTAGTAGACTGTGTTTGCAGTATCCTCTTTCAAGACTTTGGGATCACAGAATAACTTTCAGTGTTTAGTCACTTTCTGCACCAGTGATTCCGTCTGATGGGGATTCAATTGATTTTTCACATCTCGGCATAAGAAGGCCCAGACTGTGCCCTCTTGCCTGCGAGTGTTTGGTGGCACCAGCAGTAAGGGATGTCAGGAAAAATGCTTTTAGGAAAAGAGCAAAGAAGATGCAAATACCACAGAGAGCTTTCAGGTTTCATGGAACTGCAGATATTTTTTATCTGAGCAGTTCAAAATGTGGATTTTATACAGAAAGAAGCTTTGCCTGGTTAAAATATTGACTTTTTACTTAAAAGATTAAGCGAAAGTATGTTACTGTCACTTAACTGAAGCTGCATTCATTTTCTTTTACATCTGCATTTAATACTCAACCCTTAAGCATGAAATTAATCCATATTATTTTCTTAATCCTGTTAAAAGATACTCCTGGGAAGGATATCTCTCCTGTGAGGAGCAGGTTAGAGACAGATGTGGGAGCAAAGCAGTTGATGCTATGTTGGGTGAGATTTTACTTCCTGAATGTACTATACCAGTATATTTGTATTAACTGCATTTAGTTGCTGTCAGGGCACTTTAAACTTCTGGACAAACTGAGAAGAATAATGTATTCTCCCTGTGTCCTTGCTGCTCTCCTTTGCACCTCTCTGATCTCAGTTTCCTAAAGCGAAATGCAAACAGTCAGAGGGCAGTGGAACTGTAGTGGCATTGTCTGTTAGTGAGATGAAAATCTGCTGGGACCACCAGGATCAAGCACATTGAGAAATATCTAAGGTTTGGAACTGGATATTATCCATTTTGTGAGGTGAGGTGAGGATTAAGGGCAGGAAGGCAGGAAGAAGTAGTGGAATCTATGTGATCATGGAAGCCTTGAACTTATCCAAAGAACAAAAAATGTCCATTGAAAAACCATGCATATGAATACTTTAACTTCTTTTCCCAAATTCATTTTCCAGTCAAGTCAGGTCTTGGATTTTCTCTGAAGTAAACTAAGGTAGATTTTTTTTTTTACCAAATGATCAGTGAACTAACAAAAAATAATCATGTGTTATGCATAGTTTCACTGAACAGCAAGACCTAAAAGGTCTGGACACAAAAACTATACTTAAACAAGGTTCCATTTTGTGCAAACTTCTCTCTGATAAATGTGAAAGATAAAGCCATGGTTCTGGGGCCTTAGAAAGGCAAACTGAAAAGCTGAGGCTATTTAGTGAGAGCTGGGAAGCTTACATATTTGAATGGGGGTGAGGCATTTAATAATTGCGAATCAAAAGAAGTTTTAGCAGCAACCAAGATGATACTATTAGGAAGGAGTATAGCTCTCCCTGGAATGAGAGTCATCCTAAGCTGTATGTTAAAAGTAAGAAGAAAACCCAAAATGAATGCAAAAGGGGATTGATTAGGAGGAAGAATTATGCCCTAGAGGTTTAAAGATATAGAACTTAAACAAGAATGACCAAAAACTGTGTTAAACCAAATTTTACTATTCATTTTATTTGAGTTCCCTGCAGAGCTCTTCAGCTTTGCAAACAAAAATTGAACAAGGAGAAAAATGCTCATCCTATGTCTTTTCCAAGGAGCATGCTAACACTGAATAGAGAGATATGATGGTGGCTTTAAGCAACATCTCACACACCTGAGAGCACATTCCTTGGAATTGAGAAGTATTAAAGTGTCCCAATACTTTCTCATGCTTTCTTCCTTTGCCAGAACCTGCACCACCGAATAGTTTGGAAGAACCTCTTCAGGGGGCTTGTTTTATTTGCTAGAATATCAATAAACATATCTGAACACAAGCCCTCTGGCCATTCAGAGAGTTAGGCTGCACAGGACTTGCATGTGGCCTTGCTGTTTCAAGGAGAGAATTTGAGACTGAAATACTGTTTTACATGTGTGTCAGGTGACACACCCAGACTTCATACCCATAGGGGCTCTCTCAGAATGAATCTGTGGGTACAGGCAGAATTAATTGTTATTGTGATTGCTCTAAGACAATAATATGAGCTTCTTTGCCACTGAAAGTGGATAAAAGGATAACATTTTATCCTTTATTTTCTCTTAAGAGTTTTCAAATTATATTGTAAATCCTAATCAAGGGAAAACAGTTTAGTGGACTGCAAGCTTTGATAAACCATGAGCAAAAAGAGAAACTACCACTATTGATATTGCGTATTATTTCTATAACATTTTGCAACAAGATCTTCATCTTGCTCTTGCTTGCTCTCCTGGGTGTGTCCTCAAGTTTCCAGCACAATTGCAAATATTCTTAAGGAAGGAGCAGCACTCCAGCAGCTTCCCAGCTTTTGTGGTATAATCACAGTTTCTTCTGCCCTGGTTCTTGTCTGTAATGTGCTCTTTCTGCATGTGTGAAAGAATAGTGGATTAAAGTGAATTGGAACTACAAAACATGCTTTGTAAACAGCATCATTTCAGCAATGCTGTTCATAATGTTAAAGTAAAGG